AAAATCGACTTTTGTCCAGCTAGATTGCCGTTTTGGCCCACTGTGCGACTGATGAATAATCGATAAATTTCAGTTTTATTGCCACTCAAACGTATATGTACATGAAATAATCCAGAAGCGTAATGGCATGGGTTATTATTTAGTTTAGAGGGAACGGGAAATTACATTAGGACACGAGAACTTATATTCAGTGGCATACCTTATTCTTTATTAGGCATAAGAACAAAACTAGAATATATTTATCCGGTAAGGTCCGACTGAAGATATGAGCATTTTTCCTTGTACCGATAGGAAATAAAGCACGCGAGAGCAATAAACGAAGGTGAAATTATAATATAATGTATTATAATAATATCCCAAATACTTCGTCATTACAAACAACAACCAAATAGGTATCAATATTTGAATTAATTTTATTAGTTACATAATAATTAAAGATAAGTTATTAATTATGACATAGACAAAACATGCTGTTACAATATGCAATTGTAATATGTATTCATTAACGTTTCTTTTTAAAACTACCTTAAATCAAAAGAATAATGAAAAAGGCAGAGTTTATTACATAATTGTCAAATAGTCTATAAGGAAATATTGCATTCTTAAAAAAACGAAAACGTATAAGTTTATGTTATATTGATAAACGTATATAAATTGTCATAATCATATTGCATTTACAGCTGTTAATTGATCCAAGGAAACTTTTTATCGTGAAAATGAGACCACTCTTATTGTTAATCATTTTTATTATTCAATTTTACTGGCTGGATACGGCACAGCACTCCACAAAGGATGACTCCCGTCACCCTTTTTCATCGCGATGGTCTTCACGAGCTCCTGCGATGGTTGTTTGAGATCGTACGCCCACCCGATTTTCGCGAAGAAGTTGATAAAATTTGTAGTTGCAAGCTTGGAATATGGTAACTCGGCAGCCTTGTAGTCCCACGGGAAGACATGATGGTAATTGTGCCATCCTTCGCCGTTCGTTATAATGCTAACCCATCGATTTTCTGTTGGATTTATGTACCTGCCATCAAAATAAACGAGGGAAAATTACTCGTCGGCGACACAGAATAGCGCAAGCTTCGAAATTTACTTTCAATCAGGTTTATTAAATGTATGAATAATTGTGAATAATTTGGATCTTAATTATGTGCTTACGAATCGTATGGCTTTGAGCCCCAGATATGAGCTGCACTGTTGACGCTCCATGTACCATTTAAAACGTAAGTATAACGAATAATAATCTGCGATATGAAGGCTCTATACCAAGTCTCATTCCATCCAAACACAGGTACCATCACCGGAAGCAGGAAAGCAAAGATAAATTTAAGTATATTGAAATATCTGTGAAATATTATAATAAATTAATTACGCCATGCAGGTTTTTTATATTACACATTGTCACACACTATACATATCGTATAAATAACAAAGGAACTTTGCTCGACAAAGCAACAGCTAAGTAGTTTAAAAACGGCCAAAATTCGAGCAATTAACAAATGTTAAAAATATATTTAATACTTCAATAACGGTATACAGTAATGTTTACGTTTCGAGCCTTACTTGGCTTTCTTCAAAACAATAAAAACGTATAAAGAATAACGCATTACAATATCTCGACTCACTTTACAAACAAGGAATCAAATATCGTATATTTTATGAAAAAAAATCTGCATAAAAGACAGATTTTTTAAAAGAGAACTGCGGAGAGATATCAAAATGATAAATACGCATTTTTTCGAGATAAATCAAATAAAAGTGAATAAATTTCCTCTTGTTTTCTTTTATCTTTTCCAATATGAAACAATCTTGCGTATTTTATTATTCATTCTTTACGCAGACTTACTTGCAACTAAATGTGGCGATAGGATCGGCCAATATATCGCTCATATCGATCTGACCACCCTTTCGGATCACCTCCGGATGTTTCTTCATCATCAACCAACCGACATGGGAAAAAAAGAATCCTCGGTTACTATTGTGCGGATCTGCGTCTGTGTCTGTATACTTGTGGTGTACCCGATGATCTCGCACCCAGTCATACAGGTTATTCTGAAAGAAAGCAATTGTATAGAAAAATTCTTCAGTTTTGCAACGCACGAAATGGGAATTATAAACGTTCGTCTACCTACCATGCCAGACGAAGCGTAGAAAACGACAAGTATAATTCTAAGTGGCCATTTTGCCTTGTAAGCTTGGTGGGTCCATAAACGATGAACACCAGCGGTGACGCCTAGCCCTGATATCAAA